TCCCCATCCCAAATCCCACATCCCCCTGCCTGCTCACATCCCAATCCCAAATCCCACATCCTCCAGCCCCTCACATCCCCATCCCACAGAGGATGTGGGAGGACTGCCCATCCCACATGGGCACACACAGCTCCCTGTCCCCAAAAGCCGTCAGCTGTCCCCAGCACCCCCCCCCCAACCTTGCCACCCCTCTCAAGCCTTGCAGGAGCCTCAGGACTGAGCCAGTGTCCCCAGGGCCACCAGGAGGGGACACGTGTTCCCACTCTCGGAACGCGGTCACCTCATTTCACTCCACCACCAGGTTTCTCCCTCCCTGGGGGGTTTGGGGTGGGTCAAGGAGCCCCCAGCCCCCTGCCCACCTTCCCCCTGTCCCCACATCACAGCAGGCACCCCCAGACCGGGGGACCCTCGTGTCCCCAAGCACCACAAGGCATGTGACAACCTCCAAACCCTGGGCCTCACCCGCGGGAAGAGATGGTGGATACGGGGATGGGGCACATGGGGAACACCATGCTGAGGGCAGTGGCCGTGTCCCCTCCCATGCCAGCCCTGGGCACAGCAATCTCAGCATCCCTGTCCCCAGGCTCTGGTGGCACAGGGACTGTGGTACCAGGGACATCCCAGGGATGCTCCCAGCAGAGACGTCACCCCAAACCCGGCCGTGCCCCCACCCCGGGCATGCATTCCCAGGGATCTCCCAGCGCCTTGGCCGTGGGATGCTGTCAGAGGATGGGCCCTGGCCAAAGCTGGCAGGAGGTGGCATGGGGACAGCCAGGGTGTCCCGGTGGCTCCCGCAGCTCTGAGTCAGCGCGGGCACCGGCACGACCCGCGGGGTCCGGCTGACTCAGGGCTGCCGGTGCCAAGCTGCCCTTTGCCAAGCCCGTGACCGGCTGGAGGCCAGTTCAGAGCCAGAAGGGATGGCAGAGGCAGGGGGCAGGTCCCTGGCTCTGTCCCCACCTCGGTCCCCAGCCCGTGGCAGGAGCCACGTCCTCATTTGGGGTCATTTGGCATCACTGGTGACTGTGATGGTGGCACTGGTGGCAGGGCTGAGGTGACACAGCCAGGGGGATCCTGCTCTACGGAGTCCCAGGGCCAGGCTAGGGGGAGCTGGGGATGTCACTCGACATGTGACAGGTCCCCTGCCTGCTCTGCCTGGCCTGGAGCTGGATCCTGCCCTTGGCAGGGATGCAGGGATGGGCAGGGAAGCACCCAGAATGGCATATCCCCCCTGGCACAGCCGGCACGCGCTGCTTTAATGGGTCACCCTGTGATGGGGACACATTTAATGGGGTCTGGGCTTGGTCCCGGTGTGGGACCAGCTCTGATTTCCCCCAGGATCAGTGGCCTGGATGTGCTTCTGCAGCACCAAGCGGCTCAGCCACACATCTGCAACGAGCCCGGTGCCAACCACAGCTCCCAGTGCCCAAACTGGGGCCTGCCCAGTCCCTCGGGGATCCCACACGGGGCAGCTTTGAGGAGAAGATGAGTGGACAGTGGGATAATGGGACACACCACCCACCACTGCAGCCTACAGTGGGGAGAGGGGATGGAGGGGTGTGGGGACATGTCCCTCCAGGGTGTAGGTCCAGGGTGGAGGGGGAAGGGAAAGGGCAGGAAGAGCCTGGAGAGGTCCATGGGGAGAGCAGAGCCCTGCAGGGCGAGGGGAAGAGAGAGGGAACGGGAGAGACAGATGGATGGACAGATGGAGGGAGGAATGGAGGGATGGAGGGAGGGGGAATGGAGGGATGTAGGAATGAAACTACGGACGAATAAGCAGAGATAGGGAGGGAAGGAAGGATGGGGGGGCTGACTGGCTGGCTGGCTGGCTGGCTGGCTGGATGGATGGATGGAATGATAGACAGTGACAGATTCACGGAGGAATGGACAGCTGGACAGGCAGACGAATGGAATAACAGACAGATACACACAGGGAGAGATGAAAGGATGGATGGAAGGATGGAGAGATGTAAGGAAGGAGGGAAGGATGGATGGATGGATGGATGGATGGATGGATGGATGGATGGATGGATGGATGAATGGATGGAAGGATGGATGGAAGAATGATGGAAGCATGGAGGGACGGAATGATGTAAGTAGGGAGGAAAGGAGGGAGGAGAAGGGAGGGAGCAAGGGAGGGATGTACAAGTGGAGAGAGGATGTACAAGTGGATGGAAGGACAAGAGATGAAAGGAGGGAGGGAGAGGGAATGATGGATGGAAGGATGGATGGAAGGAGGGAAGGACGTAAGGAAGGAGGGAAGGATGGATGGAAGGATGGCTGTGTGACTCGGTGGCTGGATGTCCCTGGCTCAGTGCCAGCCCCTTACCCGTGTCCTGCCGGAACTGGTGCATGGACTGGAGGTCGATGACGTAGGGGGCCAGCTGGACATCGACCTGGCCCAGCACCACGGACCCGCGGGCGTCCTCCTTCAGC